TTACTGTCTTCGGTCAGTTCGCGTAATAAAAGCAAAAAGTATAGAAAGATTTACATAAAAAATTGACGGTATAAATTTGTAAGCTCGAACATTGTTCGAGCGGAGAGTCCATCGATCGTGTTTGATTAATATTTCACGAGCACGTACTGTATCACGGAAGACATTAATATTTTATTTAAAAGTTTGCATACAATATCTCCTCGAGGCGAGAACGTGCTACTTTTCACGAGCAGAAAAACACGAAGAAATGCTGGAAAGAATGGAAGACCAGCGGGACAAAAATCGTGAAACAAAGGGTCAGGTTCTCATTCGTGCTCGCATTTAACACGTAACAAAGAGGCCTCGAAATTACAAATTGTAATCAACGTCAATTTACACCTGCAACTTGACCGACTTCGCTGGAAAGCGCAAGGACTATCGATCGGTCTATTTATAAACATTTCTCATAATTCGGGTCAAGTCCACGTTGCTTCGAATGTTTTCGCAAAATGGTTATGTTCCGAAATAATTTAATAGAAATTTGACCGAACAATCGAAATCGCGGCGGGGGAAAATTAGCGAATTAATCTTGATCGCGCTGACTGCTCGGTTTACTCTCGGATTATTAATGCTCGGTAGTTTCGTTACTGAATTATTTGGCAGAATGAAATTTGTAGCGTCGGTCGACGGTGATCGACGTGGCGGAACGCGTTAAACTCGAACGGTCATGATCTCGTTTCGAGACAACACACGCGTCGAAAATCGCTCGTCGAGCTTCTCGACGATTCGAAGTTGAACGCGAGTCACGTCTCGTATTCGTGTTTTATTCCTCGTCGAAAAGGAAAGAAGCGCAGAGGATCGCGAAGCGTAGCTCGTAAACCGCGGAAAGATCTTTTCACGTTCTCTAGAGCAGCGTGAACGTTAAATCGCTTTACGGTGTGCACCAGTGATACGGGTTAGAGGAAGACGGCCCTAATTCGATCCATAATTCATAACGATTACAGTGGAGCACTATTATTGTCCATAAATTAGCATCGCGCTTGGTGCGGCTGACGTTAAGATAGCTAACGGTCGAGCAAAGATCTCTAGAAACGAACCGACTGAAGATTCGATGAAAGCTCTTGAACGCGTTTCCACGAGGTTACTCGTAAAATAGAGGCTTAAGGGTGACGCGACGAAACGACCGAGCGGATAGTCCGGATCAAACTCGTCGTTGCCACCGGCTGAAATTGGTCACGTCTTTGATTATCTTCCTTTATCGTTTGCAGTACCTTTACTAGCCGATTTCTTGACAAACCCGATCGATAAGCACCCTTATCGACACGGAAAGATGGAGTATATAGGAACGTTACAACTCCTTTTTTTCGTTAAAGCAGATATACCGCTTTCTCCCTATCGATACTAGCAAATTTCTAGTATAGAAATTTCTTTCTAAATTTCTGAATTTGTGGAAACATTCAAAATATCCAACTTCGTAAATTTGAACGTTTAACAGCGTAGTGTAACGTCTTAATTAATTTTCCTTGAAAATCCACATTCTATAAAACGAAGTTTATCCGTAATGATGAAATGGGATTAAAAAGAAGAAGAGAAAAATCCTTTAATCCCGTTTTCGAGTTAGCGATCACTCTCGGCGAACGACAAACGAGGAAGCCCGTGGAACGAAGCGGAACCAGATAAATCAACAAACAGACAATTTAAAAGGCGAGCAAACATACTTCGAGGTTTGTAAATAGCCAGCTTCTGTACATAATACAGTGTCTACGAAATAGTCCGGTCATCGTAGTACGGAAACGTGAGTTCAAACGCGCCAATAAAAACGTGCAAATACCGATAGAATTTCCGCAATTTTCTACACCGCTGACCCGCACGTACCCCGGCGTGGAAATCCTGCAGGATGAAGACTCCGTCGGCCATAATCATTTCCGAGAAATTGGACGTAAACGAAAATCTCAATGGCGCGATTTCACCGTGCTACCAAACTTCGTTTAATCCTTTCGAGGAATAAACGGAAATCGATCACGACTTGCTAATTATCCGTCATATTTGCGCCATAATAATTAGAACTTGTATTTCATTCGCTAACTAGGTCGTGTATTAATTATTGACCATGTAGTATTTAGATACCCATTAATGACGAGGCTGAGGCGGTTTATTCAATGAGAATTTTATAATCGAAAGTAAATTGCTAATTAGTGCTCTGTTTATGATCTCTCGGAAAGTGGAACGCTATGTTTAAATGATTTGAAGTATCTCATTAAGCGGATTAAATATATATATTCTTGTATAACCGTGTTCGTAATTACGTTAGAATTATACGTAGACTCTATTCACTTGAAATTGTATAAAATAGTCAGACCATTTATACTGTACATATTGTTCTCATTATTTTTTCTCAGACAGAAACTTTCGATGTCTACTACGATATCAAATTGTACTACATAAAAATAGGTGGAAAGTTGGAAAAATTTGAAGGGTCATGTTTGTTGATTCAAACAATAGCAAAGATATTAAGGAATAACAAGAAACAGAGATACTAAGGAATTTGCGGTAAACGAAACACCTCGTATTACTTTTACGCTGAAACATAGAAGGAGGTTGAAGGTACTCATGTTTCTGCCGATCGTCAGTTAATGCACCGTCAGAAGTTCCCGCACACGAAACCTCTCGAAAACGGCAAATTACGCGAATGGAATTTCTCTGGGAACTCGAGGAATTCCCTTGTAGGATCTTCCACGCCTGACTTCTCTCGGTCCAGCCTCGCGGGACGAAACTTGCCTTCTTCGAATGGCTTCGGCAGACTTTTTCCTCTCCGATTCACATGCAGCGTTATAACGGCTATGTTTTAATAAGCCTTTTTACGTCCTTCTTTATTTCAATTTCTCCCGCATGTAAAAATTGATTTTCTTATCTAAAGTTTCATTCATACGGATTAAGATGGAAGTCGCACGATTAATCTACAATTTTCTGGACAGTCGCGTCCTTTACAGCTAATATAAATTTACTCGCTAATTATTTAGCCTAAAGGCAAGATACAATCTATGACGCAAAGAAAATTCAAGAGTAATGATATGAAGATTATAATTCAAAAGAAAATTGAATAGCGATGAAAATGAGTCTGGTTCGTTACACAGTACTATAGAGTGTGTCTCGAGTGTGACAGTATATTGTAGGGGTTAAACAACTTCTGTAACGCGAAACAAAGTGTAACACAAGAGGGTGTAGACGAGGAAGGAGTCCGTAAGTGTAAGAGATGGAGTAATAGAAGTTCCGGTGATTCATGCACCGATTCGAGAAGCAACCCCCGCAAGGGGTGGGTTACGCGTACGCTTGTCTACGTTACGAGACGAGCAACGGCCGCTTTCTCTTCGGGTAGGTCGTGTTGAAAGGGGTCGTTGAAATTTCCGGTTCTATAGTTGGCCAAGCTCGTGCACCAAAAGCCACCTCTAGGTATATTTCCCTGCACTGTGTCCAGTTCTAGTATGCTCTCTGCATAATGAGAGATATATACGACAGACCCGAGGGGTGGATCACGGAGAAGAGAATTGAAATCCCGTACACCGTGGCCTGGAAGCTGCTTCCTCTAATCAATGAGGAACGCTTAATAGGTTGCCCTAAGCTTTGCTCCAAGGAAGTTTGTTCGCTAGCGAACTACCTGCTTCTTGCCGCACAAAGCGGACCTTTGTTTTATCACTGAATGCGATAAATAGGATTCTGGACAAGGACACCATTCAACTTTCGCAATTTTTACATTTGTTGTTTTTAAAGTTTCAAATCACTGATTTTACTGAATGACTACATTTTTGTATGTAGAAGGTCTCTAAATAATTACCAAGTATCTAAGAGTCAGGGTGTTGTATATATTTCAAGATGTGCTTCTAACGAGGAACAACTGACTGCCTTCTCAATCGTTTCGAGAAAAGTTCCTCAAAAGTCGGAATGCTCCTCAATGCACATGACACCGGTCAAAGTGACCTCATAAAGTCACCCTCATAAAATTGGTGAAAGGCCTACCACTTAGGCTCTAAGTAACTGCGAGTACCAGCTCTAGTATTCAAGTTTGAAAACTGATATAATATTTAGGTAAAAAATATTTGGTTGAAGTTCAAAGTCAAAGTCAGAGAGCAAAGGGATTTTGTAAGAAGAAATAATGTTCGAATTGGTGACTTTACAAGATGGTTCCAACGGACAGTTTGGAGCGGCGTTAGGCGCAAAAGCGATGAACGATTAAGCTGCTCCCATATAAATAGCCTTGTCAAATGTCGAGGTCGATCGACCCAGAAATGCCAGAAAGGTAATTGAGAGGTTCTGGCTGTGCGCTACGAGGGAATAATAGATCGAGTTGCGTGGCCTGATCCTTTGCGGTTGGATACGCGGATCGAACATTGTTTGATCTTTTGCGTACCTCCGACAAACGTGACATTTGCATTTCCATTACAACCCCGGTGTATAATTTCCGTTGCGACGAATCACTCGATCTGGCTGCCCTGGCCAACTCTGTGTCGCTCTGTGTTTCGAGAATATTTATTCGAAATAATGCTGGCCTAGAAAGACCCTAAGGAAAAGGAATAGGCAATAGTACTTCTGTCATAAAAAGCAGGCAGAGTGCTCGGAAATTCCCTTTCGAAAGTAAAAGACTTGCCAGATGGATATTTGTGTCGCTGCAGGAACCCGTACGATTTGTTACGATGAAACGTCGTGAAAATTTCAATAAAGCGATATTCTTTCTTAAGTCGGAAGCAAAGTACTCTGAAATTTTTTAGTAAAAAATTGCCGGGTCCTTTGTCTCGTTACGAGAATCCACACGATTTTAACGACAAAAAGTTGTGAAAATTTTCGATAAAATGATTTACGCGGTTCGCCGCGTCTAAAAGCACCCTCGAGTGAGTCTTCACTCGCGATGAAAAGTCATGAAAATTTTCAATAAAATGATTTATGTAGTATTACCGCTTCGTAGAAGCAGCGCAGAGAAACTTTCCGAAGTAAAAGACTTGCCGAGTGGATGTTCGTGTTACAGGAAGACTCCATATGGTTTCTCAAGAATAAAAAAAAGATACTTACGCGGTATTCTTCAGGTTGACAATACGAAAGGGTAGAATCGAATGTTCGTCGAGTAGATCACGCCTGGTTGGCTGTATCAGAGAAGTTTCGATTGAGACTATTTATCCAACCTTTTCAGAGTCAACGGTCCGGAACGAAGAAAGGAAAGAACGTATCGGAAGCATGGGAAAGATAGAAAAAATTCAGTTTCCGTGGAGTATACCGCGAGCTGGATCACCGTAGAAGTCGCAATTCTTTTCTTGATGGAAGCAATAAAAGTTCATGTTGCATCGAGCACATGCTTCTGCCCGCTCGCAAGGAAAATATGGGAGTTCCAATAGAAATATTTTAGCCACCCTTTACCGAGGCTATGGTATAAAGGTGCGGTATCGTGCAGATGAAATATCCACTTTTTGAAAAATGTTCACCGAGCAACACTTCTCCCTAAAGAATCATTCTGTTATCGGTAAAAATCTTTTACATACACTATATCGATACCTGTCGTTTTACAAAATTCATTCGACGCGGGTTCCGCATTATTTCGCATTATCTGATCCACGAATCGATGTTCATAAAGAAGGAACAAGTTCGAATAAATATTTGTCTCGAAACTTATCATTTCAAGACTTTTATAAGAAATTTTATTCTGAGACTTATATATAAATTTTCAGTACAAGTAAATATTCTTGAATGTCTTTTATTTGAAATTTATGTTCCAAGATTATCCGCAATAATTTCGAAGAGCACTTAAAGGTTTAATATCGATCCGGCATTCGAAGCTGGATAAAAGTGACCGTGTAAATATTTGATCGATCTTTTCAATGGAAAATGACTGGTTGAAGCAACGGTCAGTTCATTCTCGCAGCAAACTCGTATCGTCCTTTATTAGATAACGCATCGAAAACGGTTGAAATTGGAAAGGTATCCAGGGAGCGAAGAAGTTTCAAAGTTAACTTATCTTTCAGCCACTTACGCTCGAAACTCGTTACTTCGGATCAACGATGAACGGTTTCTTGCGGAGAGAAATGGGTCGAGGGTGAACAGAAACGTTAATAGAATCCGGAGCATTTTGCCTGTTAAGCGGAATTACGATAATCTGATTCGCTGATCCCATCCCGAAATTGATTAAGGTCAATACTAGCTCGGAAGCCGGTAGTTTCAAATTTCCAGACGGACCCCTGTTGACCTACATGAAACTACAATGAGACGTATCGAGGCGCCGATAACATCTCGCGAAATTACAGGGAAATTACCTGCAACTATCTTGAAACTCCCCGAACATGCGTGGGAGGTCAAAGTACATGTTCAAAAGTTCCCGCGTTTCAAACCTTCGGATAGTTTTTTTATAACGAGCTTTGTCTCTACCAGGGGAACATTGAAAATTTATAAATTCTTTGTGAGGTCTTATCGGTTGCCCTATGATCAACTTTAACCTCTTGCACTACATACACTCGTGACACTAGATCAGACTCGCACTTTGTGCCTAGCACTTGAACCTCTTTTAACACTAAAACTACTAAACCGGTCAAATGACTGCTCCACAAGTTGAAAAATAGATGTGTGTGCTAATTTATGTTTCGTCGTTTATTTATTTATTTTTGAACTTCATTTTTAATTTCAAATAAAGTACACATACGTCGATAGGTTTAATGTTAACATTGTAGCAATAATTAATCAGCGACTGCACATAAAATTTGAAGTTCTTGCAAAGTTTCGATGTGATCCGAAAATGGAGTAGAATGAAAAAGCGACTTTTTGATTTTTCCATGTGAAAGTTTGGGACGAGAGAACCGAAACCCAGCGCGGTTTTACGTTCCCGCGGATCAGAAAAGGTTCACGCGGAGGAAGTAAACGTTGAATTGAAGGAGCGAGTAAAGGGTGGCAAGGGGAGGTTTTTCCATAAAGGGCGAGGGATGTCTGAGTGCGCGCCTACTTAATCGCCATTGTAAGATTCCACGAGTACGCTCCACCACGAGGATCCCTTCTATCTAAGGGAAGATACCCTCGTCGGCTTCTGGACATTTTGCAACCCTTTGTGATACGGTCACCTCTCTTCTAGGGCCGTGGAAAACAATGCATGGAACGTTAAAGGTAGAAAGAAAAAAGAAAATGCTAAATCCGACCGCGGAATATTTACATTCTTTGCTAAGACAATTTCGCGAAATAATGGTCCTGAAAATAGTTCCCTACCTCGACAAAGGTGCGCAACATTTTTCGAATGAAAAATTAAGAGTTAACATTTTTTTATTTAAACAGCGACGAGTCGATTTGTTCGAAACTTTTTAGATCTTAAAAGTTCCATTAGTTTTCACGAGTACGAATTCCGCTATTAATTAGAATTTTGAAACCGTATCGGATACAGAGTCCGATCGCGAATTTTCCCGGGGGCAGCAGTTTAATTACGAGAAAAACGCGACCGGTTTCAAAGTAGAACCTAAAAGATGGTTCAATCGCAAATTGCTTAACCACTTTACGAAATAAGAAAGTTTCCCTTGGTTCCGTTTCTTTTCAACGAGTCAGCCTGTCTGCGCTCAAGAATGTTTCCAAAGTGGACAGTACGAATAAAGAACTTTGGACCTCTTTGACCGAACTCTGAAACACCCGGAAAAATATTCGGTTTAATCTTCTTTAATGAGAAAGCTGATTCTCGAGAAAGCAAGTTGGACAAACGCGTGTTCTCGACGAAGCTTTTCACCCTCTGACTGACTTCAATTTTCTTATATAAATTCATGTTTCATAGTGAATGTACGTTAAGTAATAGCTCGCGATTTATCTCTACGCTGATCCAAAGAAACTCGTCTAAAGAAATTACACATCCGTCGACTGAATCGCGATTCAGACGGGGATTAATAAAGTAACGACGGAGGGGAACCTAATTCTTAGCCGTCTCGAATGCACCGTGCAACAAAAGAGTGGTTTATGAAAATTTTTCTCCGAGCTCTTACTGTTCGAACGAGATCAGTTAATTACGTTTGCCTCGCGAGTTTCGTCGTAATTCCGATCGTAATAGGAATCGCAAACGAACGATACATTCGATATGCGGAGAGCGGTAGCAAGGGTGCATTACACCCTCTAGGGAAATCAGCACGGCACCCAGAATCGCGAATACTTTCCAACTTTTCCCTTTTTTTACATCGTCTATCTCTCTCCGTTAGAAAACTTTTTATTCCGCTCGGAGAAGAAGAAGCATGTAAAATTCCCGGTGCCTTTCCATCCGGGGTATTTCTCTTTTGTCTTGCGTTATCCCCCTTACGCTGCCGCTTTTCTTTCTTTATGACCGCGGAAAATGAAAAAGTAAAGGATTATTTCCGGGAACTCGTGGCAATCTCCCTGGCGCGCCATTTGTTCGCCTATTATTTCGTTGCGCTCGTAAATCTACCGGTTCGGATAAAAGTCGATTGGCTTTGTGAATTTTGCAAGAGTTACGCCGTTACGAACGAATCTACCGGGGGGAATAAGATGAAGATTTAAAAGCAATCGTGTCTGTTGCTTCCAGTGAAACGTACACGATTCTTCTCGGAACGTTTCCTTACCATTATCTCGCGCTAAGCGCGATATCGCCTCGCGTTAAATCGGTCACGAGTAAATCAACCGCGTGACAGAGATACCAACGATTAACATCTTCTCCTCCTCTCGGGAAAGAAACTAAGCGGAATTGGCTCGCTTTTAAAAAAAAATCAACTTTTCGTACGTTTTCATTTCCGGCCCTCAAAGTTTAGTGCCTCGAGGCTCACTCAAAGTTCGTACGTTCGTTAAAACGAGCTCAAATAAAATTCTCGTCGTCTCGGAACGAACTGACAGCCGAGGGTCGTTGATTTCCGGGCAGAATCTTTTCTGGTAGAAAGCTCGATACAATTAGAGAGCGCTCATTATTTGTCGAACGACTTAAAGGCTCCAATTACCGCTAACAAACTCGATCAGCAATTCCGTGAAACGTCGCTCGGCTGGAATTACTTTCTCGAGCGGAGAAGAGTAGAAGTAGCGACTGGTCGATGATTCGACGGCGGAATTCTTGAAAACGAACAACCTAATGGTCCTACGAAACGAACGGAGAGAGAGAGAGACCATAAACAATGGATGCGGGCAAAGAACCACCCTATTATTTCCAGGTGATCGATCTTCCTTCACGGAGTTCCTAACCGTAAGGGCCTCTTGCGAGGTATCGCATTTTTAAGCATTCGACCGCCCGAAGGTGTCACCTTTCTCGAACATCCTCGTTTCTTCCGAGAAACGTATCTTTTTCTTGTTATGCTCGTTACATCTGCTCGGCACGTACTCCAATCGTTTTACACCAAATTTGAATGCTCCGTTTGCTTATAAGTTGGATATTCCATGTTGTTACCATACGTTTTTGAACGGGGTTGCGAAAAGGAAAATTGCGTTATTCGGTACACTGGAGGTTTGTTAAAATTTCAAATAAGTACAGTTAAATTATATAGACTCTCTGCTGGCAATTATACTTAAGTAGACGTCTGCTGACTATTTCATTAGCTAACTGAAAAGTCAGTTTCTCCAGTATAAATACACTTAACCCTGACAAGTATAAACTTGGTCTTCATTTAGAAATCCTACAATGGAAAGCGAAATTGCTAGTCTTTCTGCTGGCAATTATACTTAAGGCCTTAGAGGTCTGCTGACAATTTTATTGGCTAACGAAAAAGCCAGTTGGTTTCTCCAGTATAAATATATTTAATCCTGACAAGTATAAACTTGGCCTTCATTTAGAAATCCTACTGGCAATTATACTTAAGTAGAGGTCTGCTGACAATTTTATTAGCTAACTGAAAAGTCAGTTCCTCAAGTATAAATATATTTAATCCCAACAACTTTACACTTGGTCTTAACAACCCTACAATGGAAAATGAAATTGCTAGTCCTTCTGCTGACAGTCATACTTGAGGCCTTAGAGGTCTGTTGACAATTTTATTGGCTAACGAAAAAGCCAGTTGGTTTCTCCAGTATAAATATATTTAATCCTGACAAGTATAAACTTGGTTTTCATTTAGAAATCCTACTGACAATTACATCTAAGTAGAGGTCTGTTGACAATTTTATTAGCTACCTGAAAAGTCAGTTCCTTCAATATAAATATATTTATTCCCAACAATTATAAGCTTGGTCTTATAAACCCTACAATAGAAAGTGACACGGTTTTCGTCCATTATTAGAGAAATAAAGTATAACAAAGCACAGCGACTAATATAGGAACGAAACGAGACACGCCGAGGACACAATCAGCAACCTACATACCCCAAAGGGAGCCATGGGTGGACAGTGAACCGTTTGGGCGTACCTTTTGTGTCCTCTTAATCATCGTCCGTGTTTCTTTGACTCCTTCTAGCTGCGGGGCTTTCCGTTTTGCTTCCGTTAAGTTCTAGCCACGGAACAATAGACCGCGTCGTCGAAAGTTATCTCGGCTCGTGTTCGTCCGCTTCAGCGCGAGCTTTCGAGCTGGCTCGCGGCGATAATAACGCGCGACAATACGACCAACGGTGTTTAACGCGACGAGAAAAATTCGTCGACGGGAATCAACGCAGTTTCTATAATCGAGTTCAGGGAAATTCGACTCTACCACCTTGAAGTAAATGTTGCGGTCATAGATTTTGGTGGACGAACGAAAGTGAAATGAATTGATAAACAAGAAAATGTGGGGTGCGCTTCTCCGCTTTATACGCGGTATCGCGCCGCGATAGAGGTTTTTTCCGGATGAAATAAAAATGGAGGAAAAAATGAATCGACGAAGGATGAGCGCGAAGATAGGACGCTGGGGAGCTGCTCGGAACGGTAGAGACTTCCGATCCGCTCGGGGGCGCGCAAATGATTATTCAAGCAGGTACGAACTCGACCAGCATAGACGGTGAAAGAAAGAGCGGAGTCAAACGCCAGAGAAAACGGCAAGGGGTAAAAGCGAGTCGGCAGATATTAAAAGCTGTTGGTCGCGAATAAATTCCTCGTAATTAAACGGTCGCCGCGCCGTTCGTTCGGAAGAGCCAGACCAAAGGAAGAAAAAATGCTTTAATTAATCATGATAGCGAGCAGCTTGGCGAAGAACGGGGGGGTGAAAAGCGAGTAGAATGGAGGCAGATTCATTCGATTCCGTCGACGAGTATCGCTAAAGACAATAAAAGAAGGGAACCGAGTGAAATGGGAACGCTACAAGTGCCTTTCATCGAGACTACCTCTGTACCGGAGGATTAGGGGACTCGAAGAAAGAATAAGAATCGGGAAAGAAAGAAAGAAAAGGGACGAAAAAAGAAAAGGAATGCCTTTCAGTGTTCTGCTCGAGGACGGGGATGAAAGAGAAGGTACAAGAACGAGGGAAGTTCCGTGTGTCGTTGACTATTTTCCATCTTCTCGTCGTGTGCTGGCTTTGCGAAACTGCTGTCTTTCGAGAACAGAAACTCGCCGATTGCAATATCGATAGCGTAACGTTCGAATATAAGGCGCAGATGGTCAAGAAATTGGAAACGAACGAGGTATTTCTTTTCCGGTAACCCTCCTCCAGAAATCATATCTAAATTATGCCCATTTTAATATAACCGAGTTTTGCTTGCGTTATTGGAAATCTAACTTTCAATGGAGAGCGACATCCATTGTAATCCGACCAGCAAAAAGTTGGATTAGCATACATCGAACGCGGACTTCGATTCAAATAATTTTCGGACGCAGGTTTCGAGTGGAGCAAAAAATATCAGAATATTTATGGCTAAGGAATAAATTATTTACTCGAATAATTAAGATAAACGAACGATTCGGAATTACCTGTTATTTTCATATATATTGCTTCGAGGTTTTTATTCCGATTTTCATTCGAAAAACAAATTATTCCTGTTGCACAAATATTTTTATTTCTCTTTTACAAAATTCGCGGCAGAAAATTATGTGCAATAATGGCCAACTCGGAACGAACGTAGCGAGTTAATTTCCCTTCGAATGAAAGATATATTTCCAACAAATCGATGAAATCGTAAATCCGTTCTATCGAATTCGTCGGATTTATCGAAAATTTTTGAATAAAGGATAAATCTAGACCCAATTTGAATCGGGCATATCGATACAGTGTGTAATAAATATCGGCAATCGAATTGCGTAACACCGCGCGTGTCTTTACTCCGTCGAAAAAATCAGTCAAAACAAGCGCATTGACGTGGAATCGTCGAGTGGTGGGCAGAATTTAAATAATATATTTCCAACACGGGCGTAACTATAATTTTACGGTCGGTCGGTTCATCGTGGATTTATCGTATTTTCAGCCGGAGAATTGAATAGAAAATGGTAGTGGTCGACCGCGAATGCATCGCGAGAGAATAAAGTTCGGTCGAAAATTTGCCGGCAAACTAGCAACCTCGTTGCTATAAGTCACCTGGATTTTTCGATGCAAATTTTTAAACGGGATAATAAATATCCCCAAGGCAACTACGTGACTGGTCTACCGAACGAACCCCCTCGCCGTTCGTCGTTTGACCGATCTTGTCGTTCGTCTTTCTTTTTTCTTTTGGTCACTTCATCGACCGTTTTATTTCTCCTCCCTTTATACTCAAGCTAGAACGCAGACGTAAGGGAATAAAATGTTATTGCCAACATTTACCGTGTGTTTTACCATTTTCTTTTTCGGTGAACTCGCAATTTATTTTACGCCCTAGGATTTTATTCTTGTTCCGTCGACAAAGAATGGGTTGAAGTGAAAATTGCAAGTTAAGTTAAAAAATTGTATCCTCGCTGTTAAAAAAGAAAGTAAGGGCGCGGGTGGGTTTTCTTTGCCGCAGCTTTAGCGCCAGTATTTTTCTTCCATCAAGCTGGAAATTATTCCGGTACTCCTTCGCTGAACTTTAATCCGGTCCAAGTTGCCTCGCATCCCACAGTAATTATTTTTCGCAACTCTCCTCTGAACGATACAATCGATCGAAATGTTTATCGTACAGATTTCATTGCTTCTTTCCACCATCGGTTCAAAGAGACAACAACGGATTTCGTAGTTCCCGAAGAGGAGGTGAATTAAATTAACTACCTCCTTCGAACTCGGTCCCGCGACCTAACCGCTTCTGAAACTTTTACACCGTACTTTTTCTCCCCCATCCTTCCATGGTTTTGTCCCATCCTTTTGTCGTCCCGCCGACTTGCCCGGAATAACGAACAGAATGTTAATCCAAAAATTGTCGATCTCGACACCTTTTCTTTACCTTTACCGCGACGTGACCTCTCCTCTCCCGTCAGCTTTATTCCTCGCTGAAAAATCCTCCATGATTTTCTTTCCACGAACGATTGGACCCCGGATTCTTATCACTTCTTTACCTGCTGAATATTCGATTGGAATTCCCGTAACTCGTAATACTTCTCTCGCTTTGTCGCGGTTTTTTACGATCGCGTTCGTTGCCATTCGATTGATTAACCTCTCGCTTTATTTTCGAATGTAGTATTTCTAAATACGTTAACGCTCTTTTCTTTTTATTCTTGTATGAAGAATTTTATGGGTCTTATGCATTTTATGAGATAAGAAGTTTTTGTTGAAGTAAGGATATTCGACGTCCGCAAAATAAATATGAATCGTGTAGTTTAGAGACCGTGGGTCACGTAGATCATTAGTACTTGGCAAACTTGGAGATATCGTAAATGCATAAACATCTGCTGTGTAATAACCATTCCGTCATCCGACTTGGCTATATTTATAACGAGAACGTTTCCGCACGGAAGAGCAAGAATTATTATTCATCCACTTTTTCCTTCTACCTCAACCTCTATTTTCATTCTTTTCTCCGAGTGTTTGCTTCTTAAATATTATCGTGCTTCACGGCCAGCGTTATTCTCTTTACTACTACCGAACAAAAACTTTAATCGCTTTCTTCTTCTTGACGTTCCTTCCCGTTTCGAGCTACGCGTCTAGAAATTTCATCACCGCAAAGCCGAACGAGATATTTGGAACGCGTCGGAATATACGTTACTTTTCTATTATCTTATTTCAAGGCGAAATCGGGCTTCGCTAAGAAACGTTTTTCTTATCTCGCCTCTGCGTCGCTGCATTTCCACCTAATCTCGACCTCTTATCTTTTAATTGCGCGAATCGTGCAATAAATCTTAATTGCCTTGGCCGGCAATTTAATCGTTAGATTTTCTCCGATTTCCGCGGGGGCTTGTCTCGCGAGTTTAAGAGAATCGATCATCGAACGATTAGGTAAATCGGTCCCGAGGAAATTAGCCATCAGTTTCGTGATATTTCGCCGCGTAAACTGATAACGAGGCGCGATAAGAGCAAGTACGGAAACGTATCGAGGGTTTAGATCCGTGAATTCCGTTTCATCCGGTTAATGCACTTCGCCAGAGTTCGGCCAACGAAGTTATAAGGGCGACGAGATCGAAGCGCATGTATCGTAGCTACGTATACAACGTATTCGTCTACTAATACCGAACAAACTTACGGAACTTTATGCATCATCTACATCTTATACGTGCACGTATGCTGAATTTTCCGTCGCGAAAAATGCCTCGATAAAGAATAACCTCTCTGGGCTTCATCTTCGCCGTTGCCAACTTTTTGACGTAAACGCAAACTAAGTATTATACGCAACTTCTGTAATTTTCAGATAACAGAGATACCGAACTTGCTCTTATAAACCCGTTATATTCATAACTTCTGTTTTCCTACCTTCTCCGCTGCGCACCCTCCTGGCTCGTGTACAGGATGTCGCTGAATTAGGGGTAGATAGCACCTCGCTGCAATTCACTGCAACAAGGAAAAATATCTTGCTTACTTCCACTGCTGCGAGAATTGCTACACGTTGCGTTACCAACAGTTAAATAGAAAATTTACGAAATTAAGAACTCTGAAAAGTAGAATCTTGGAACATCGAGAATTTGAGAAGGTAAAAATTTTGAAACCTTCAAAGTAGAAATTGTGAAGTCAGAAAGTCAGAGTTTTGAAAATTGAGAATTTTTTAATTAAAAATTGTACATATACAGAAACGTGAAATAACGTCACAGAAAGTGACCTACATATTTTTCTCTCGCAAATAAAAGATGAATGGAACTCGAATAAAATACCGAGTTCCAATATAGCAATTAATAAAAAAAAAATGTTTAAATTCGATAACACAACGTCCCAGCATGTTAACATGCACAGCAAATATAAATGCGGTGTAAGTGAAATTTCCGAGCGTAAGATCAGGAAATTCAGCGTGCAGAGAAAGCAAGCGAGCAAGAGGGAAGACTTCTTTTATTCGGTCCAAGGGGGGCAGGAAAATTTAATTGGCCAACGGAGAGAGCGTTTCACGAGAAGGCAGCTCGTGTCGACGTTTAAAAGTTTCAACGACGCGCGGCCAAGAACGTCGACGCTTTAATTCCTCGAAAATCGTCCACAAAAAGGAACAAAGAAAGGTGAGAAAACCAGCGTGTTCAAGCAACGAACTGAGCTATTTCTTTCGGACACCCTAATACAAATTGCTGAAACAAAATCAAGGTTCTCGAAAACAAATTACGAACCTGACCTCCTGAAATTTTAACGATTACCCTGCGAACTTTTTAATTCGATGATTCGTTACTTGCTACAATCGTCTAATTACTTGGGACAGCGTTTTTCAAGGGACGAATATCAAACTATCGAAGTTTAGTTTCTCCCGAGAACGATCGATCGACCAAAGACAAATGACAGGTCCTCGGACACCGGACACTTGGAATATCTCGTGTTTGTCCAGGAGGCAATGGTTAGGTTTACATTAGGACCACTTCCGCCCAATTGATTAGTCTCAATCGGTTTAGGTGGCTCCTGGCCGCTCCCACAAACCGCTTTTATCGATCTCTGTTCTTGTCCTCTTAAATGCTCTCCCATTCGATCACGGAAGTCAAGCTAGCAAGCTAGGATCAATAACTCGTTGCGATAACTCGTATTAATTAAAACAAAATAAACGGTGCCGATCGTCGAAATTTGCCGAACGTCGAACTCGTGCAAGAAGATTCTGTTCGAACAGTCAGGGATATTAACGACGTATATCGACGAAGCACTATTTGTGCACGAAAGTTCGAAGCTTGATCTGGGGATGCGCGTGAAGCTCGCGATAGCAGCTACGAAAATTAATTACGCCGTTCGATGTTCCTATCCCTCGCAGTCTGCTGCAGTGCATGTTAATTACAATAACACCGCTTATGAATTAACGCTCGCCATCGATCTTGTCGCTTTCCACGGACATTGCCTTCGTCACTTATCAGCTTACGTTTTCTTCCTACGTTATCGTTTCAAAAAACATTCGCACAACTTTTTAATTTAAATCTACTCAACCCTTTGCACTTCTATATCGAAGTCACATTTCTCTTAAGTGTTATAAATAATTCAGAAAATCAGATTGGTTGGAAAAATTCTATTCTGCAAATTGCAGAGTTGGTAGGTATTAGAAATTAACCCTTTGCACTTCTATATTGAAGTCACATTTCTCTTGGATGTTATAAATAATTCAGATAATCAGATTGGTTGGAAAAATTCTATTCTGCAAATTGCAGAATTGATAGATAATAGAAATGAACCCTTTGCACTTCTATGTCGAAGTCACGTTTCTCTTAAGTGTTATAAATAATTCAGATAATCAGGTTGGTTGGAAAAATTCTATTCTGCAAATTGCAGAGTTGGTAGGTATCAGAAATTAAGGGGTGTAATTTCGAAGCTATCTATATGTCAGACATCCAAATGAAAAAAATTGCGAATCAGAAATTCGCCGAACGTGTGCATAAGTTCTCGAGAGCACTTAACCCATCGCTACCGTTTCGCAAATTTGAAAACTACCCTACACTCGAGTGAGCCGTCAAAGTATCGTGTCAGAAGTTGTCGGAGGTAGATTCGTAACGAGTTCAGTTAGATCCTGTGATCGTTCGGCGCGATTGCTTCGGCTCGTGTCACACGTGTTTCGCAGTCAAACGAAAAGATCCCCGTAATTTCGTTTCGGCGAGGCGAATTCCTCCCTCTGGCCCCGACGTTTATTTCGCGAAAGAATATTTTTAGCCGGCAGGGACGCCAGCTATGACGGGCAGCTAGTCCGCTCGACATTCTACCGGTTAATAACCCCTTCTTCAACGTTTCCCCTCTCTCGCGCGTTCTTCTCTTTTTCTCTGTGTACTCTCGTCGTGGCTGCCTCTGTTCTCTGGTCGCATTTTCCGTCCACGAAGGCACACGTAAAAACGCGGAATACGTCCCGACGTGGATGCCTCGTGGATCGGCCCTTTTACGGCCACACCAGCTGCGGATCATCGCGAGCCGAGATGCCCGATGAATCGCGAAACTCCTGTGTCAGCGAAACGCCTTCCTGCGAATGCGTCGATCAATCGTTTCCCGAAATTCCTACAATTTTCTCGGCAATCGAGCGAATCGATAAAATTCGGGAGAAATGAGTTCCGGTATGAAGCTGTAATCGTAAAGCCTCGAATCTAGTTCGGGTAATCCTAATAATTCGAAATTTCGAGTACACGGTTATTTACAGTTTTATACCGAGACCCTTTGATTATCGAGCCCCCGTAAAATTCAATTTCTTGTTCCGTTAAAATTATGGAAGCAGGCAAAAGAAAATTGGCACAAGAGTCGGCTAGGAAACGAAAAAACGAAGTTGGCAATGTAAAGGAGACTCTTTGATTTCCATTGGTCTTCGCAACCTTATTCTCCAACTTTATTCCAGTCCTTTCAGAATTTGCTACGCATTTTTGCTAAAATTACGTAAGTTGGAAAAAACTTTACGAAGGAACGAAGTTCAGAAGACGGCTAATTGTTGCTAATATTCTACAGTGAACTTTACTTTTATTATATAGTTACTTGCTTTATTAAAAAGGGAGCGAGATATTTAAGCGGAATATTCCGATCAGGTATATATAACTCTTTGCTCGAATAAAAAGGAAATTATTCAACTTCGTTTGAAATATCGATCGCGAACGTCGATCGAGAATTCCAAATGCGATAAACTGACAATAGAGTTCGAGCCCTGATCGTTCAGTTAACTCCATAATTTGGATGTTCCGTTGAAACGTGTCTTGGACGTTTTCAAATGGGGCTTTTCAGGTCTTTAAAGCTTTCAGCGAAAACTTTCGAAATTCGCGGTGAAACGAATCGAAAAGCTACAGAGAGAAAGAGAGCCCTTCCGAGCGAGATAAAGCGAGTATTAGGGGTTAAAAGCAAAGGACGGCGATCCTTTTCCACGGCCCATCTAATCACGTTAATGGAATCTTAATGTCGCGACTCTTACTCTTTCGAAGTGTGTAAAAAAGTTCCATAAAAGGAGCCAAACAAAAGGTCCCTCTGTCGCTATGGAAAATTAAGGAACAATGGCGTTGAAGGGTGAGGAACAGGATAGAAGAAGAGATAATAAAATCCAAACGAACTAGAAGAGTTTTTTGTTCTTTTTTTCCATCCACTCTCTCCTATCTTTCAGCCAGTATCGATCCAGATTTAACCCATTTCCATCGGCCGGTTGATTTACGCCCGGTCTTTATTCGAGATCGAAATTCAAATTACCTTCTACCGACTGAAATTACCTGCTCCCTGTGAAACGTTAAACATGTCAAACTTTTTATGAACAAGAAATTTCTGAAACGGTTTCGAACCACGAGTTCTATAACTATACTTTCCGCGCGCAACATTGTGTGTCGATAGAAGCGTGATAAAATTCTATGTTCATAAAAAAAATTACCGTGGAAATGGGAACGAAAATCGCCTAACCGGACAAGTTTCCGACAACAAAGCATTTTCATCGTTCCCTCTCGATCTTAGCACCCCTGTTTTGTCGCGGAACAATGGGACCACGAGCAACCCTGTTTCTCTCATGCATAATGTATTCATTCGACGGGCGTCACCGGTCGCGATAAAGCCGTATCATTGTTTACGAATCATTGAATCGGCTGAATGAAATTACACCGATACCAGTGACTGTCGCGGAAACTTTCGATCAGTGTGTGTCGCGACAACCACTTCTCTATCGCTCCATCCGGGGCACTAGAGCCATTCGATGTGCCATATAGTGGCACTTTAGGGGATTCTTCTAAAGGCCCGTTAGAAAAAATACAAAACCATTTTTTACAACTCTGTCAACCGAAATGAACTGCCGTCAAATACTTCCCCTTTAAAGTCTTAAAACGATTTAGCCAAAATTAAAGGAGAGATACCACGGTTAATTTATTACGGATTTTTAAACGTTCTCGATGCTTCTGAACGAGTTGCACATTGCTGCTAATTTCTTTGTACTTAACTGCCGAGGTAAGTAGTTTGCAAACGGCGATAAGTAAATGCTAAATCGAAATTAATGAAGCACGATTTATGTGACTGGCAGGATTTGGCAGGCCTTCCCTGTTTGGTATTCTTTGAAGAAGCGAGTGTCTAGGGAAAAGGCAACTTTTAAAGTAGTCTGGTCTGGTTCCGGGCGTTCCAAGAAACCAAGTGCTGGAAAGTTTTCGATTCAAAGATCCGAGGAATCTGTGCGTGGCTCTGATCGTTCCAGATTTAGTCCTTGATGTATGGAATTAGAGATCGCTTCCGTGTCGCAGCTGTTTGGAATACTGAATTTAAAAGAGCTGCTCCATGTTATTTTATTTATTAAAATATGTTTGACATTATGGTACCCGTGCTAGGCAATGAACTTGGTTTCTACTGCGATAATCAGGTTAAAAGATCCTCTTCTTCTTCAACGTTAATAATATCTGTTAAGTCTCTCGTTCATCATTCTTTTTATTATACTCGGGGTTTCTGTTCAGAAGAGAACG